ATATAACGAACTACATTCAATCTTTATTATGCATCATGTAAACAACCAACTAATTCAAAGCTACCAACTATTAGCTTAGGCTAACAAACACCTAACTCGAAGCTACCGACAACTAGCTTGGAGCTACCAATAACTAACTTAAAGTTATATGACAATTAGCTCAAAGCCACCTACAACTAGTTTAGAGCTATTAGACAACTAGCTCAAAGCTATCAACAACTCGCTTTGAGTGACCAAAAATTCGCTTAAAGTGATTAGAATTTGCTCTAAGTGATCCAAGTTATAGACTATCTCTAAACAACCACCTAAGCCCCCTTTGAGCAACCCCATGAGTGCTCTAAGCAACCAGATCCAAAAAACATATATGACTTCGAGAAAACCCAGCAACTCAAGAACAACCTCAAATGCTTTCAACCCACACAACAATACATGCATGCAAGCTCAAAATCTTTGAGTTATAACAACATGCAACTCATAAATTGAAAAAATGACACATGCAACAATAATACACCAAAAAGATCATTCAACCTTTCCTTCTTCTCCAAGAACACCAACTCCTTTAAAATCTAGCACTCAGTCCAAATTAAGCATACCAACAAATACCCAACAAGAATCAAGGTACACACAACACCACAATCTATTAACAATCAATTTATAACTTCTCTAACATCTTGGAGAAACAAGTCAGCAAAAAAGAGGGGAAGAGAGGAAAATCACATATGACTCCCAGACGAGGTCTCAGTTCCACCAACTTTGATCTCAAAGTTAACCACTTGGTTCAACTACAAGGGAAAAGAAGACAAAGATCTTTAGAAAAATGGGAAAAACAAGTTTTGATTCTCTCCACTCTCTTAAGTCTTTTAAAAAAATGAAGTTTATGAGTTCATTTCTCATGATAACCCCGTATAACCTTTCTTAGAGTTTAATCAACTTAATTAACATCAACTTACCACTTAACTACACAAATAAAGTAAACAACCCAAAAAGACAGTGTTATATGTATTTTTGTTTGAATAAAAAATAAGAAAACTATAATTATATTAAACTACATTTACACTTTGATATAAAGAAAAAAATAAGTAAATCAAATTCTTAATTTTAAATGTTCTTCCAAAGAAATTAACAATAATATTACTAGTTGGCATAGCTTTAGATTTGCACTTAAATGTTTAAATCATGTTAAAATAACAACTAACATAATTTTTATTAAATATTTAAATGTTTGATATCGTGATGCGAGATTGTGTTATATTAAATTTTTTTTTATTGATCTTTACTTTTTAAATAGAAACATCTAAATACGTTACTTTAGAATTGTTTTTAATTAAAATTAATTCCATTTAAAAATAATTTTATAAAAATAATCAATAAAAAAATATGTTAGCAACACTCTTTTTCTTAATAATTCCTTTTTATTATTAAATAAAATCGATTAAAAATTATAAATTTTAATGAATGTTATTAAACTAACACTAATCAAGCGTTGGAAGATTTTTTGTGATATAAAAAATATTAAAAAAATACCAAATAAAATTTCACTGATATTTCCTTCTAACAAATACATTCTAAATTAAATTAGTATAATAATAAATAAAACAAGTAATCCATTATATAAACAGATAATTTATAATTCAAAGTTACATCTAGTGCATCATTAATGCATTGTTATAGTGTCGAACAATAATGAGTTTCAATGGAAATTTATAGTTTTTTTTTACAGCTGGAAATTGATAGATTTAAATAATTACTTAATTCTTATGGTTTTCTAAACTTTATCTTTAGTTCTTATAATTAAAACATTCTATTTTAATTTTATACATTCCATTTTCATTTTTAAGTTTCCTTAGTTCAGTAGACTTTTTACCTTTTAGTGCCAATAACAAATAAATAATAAGAATGGGAAGAAAACAACAATAATATATATTAAAAACTAAAACATTTATCGATAATATAAAATCCAAAATGGAATAAAATTGTTTGATCCAAAAATACTATATAAGTTCCCGTGGTATTCAAATATTTTGATTAAAAAAATTAGACATTTGAAAATTTTTAATCCTTTAAATAAAATTATAATCCCGGTTAAGTTAATTAAAATAAAAAGATATAGATTAGTTTCGGTCAATAGTGGATGCTAATTAATGTTCGTTGGTTTGATTGGTATTGTAGTTAATCCTCAAAATGCAACAATTTGTCATGATTCTTTCATTAGACAAAATCTACTACTAGTAATGGAAACAACTTCTACCTAAGGTTATCATATAATTAGTTCCTCGATGTACTAGTCATAATATATACATATACAAAAATTTTACATCAACATCTAAAATACCAACACACACATATAGTAATTTGAGGGAAATGACTGTAATATAACTTAAGTTGTCAGTCAAACAACTATCATAAAAGACTATACAAAAATGGACCTCGAACTACGCTGCCAACTATCAACATGACCTCAACACCAACTCCGACGATAACCTATCTTTATTCTACTCTTATATTAAGTATGATTATCATGGTCCAAATACATGCAATAGATGCAAGAGTAAGTTAAAGTTCAAAGAATCAACATAATCAACATGGAAATAAAAATAACTACATTATCAACATAAACAAATCAACTTAATACAACAAAATATCAACTTACAACTTTCAACAAAATACATGTTTTCAACTTTAACAACATAATATGTTTCCAATCCAACTAGATCAATGGTCAATTGCGATACCAGTCCCTAATAACATGGTTTTTCATATGTCGTCACTTAAATTAAGAAGTCTAATATTTCTAATAGGGTAAAACAACTTGAGTGTGAGTATGTCATGACATTAGCTAACTTAACTAAGCCACACATGAGATTAACTTGTCAACTACCCTTCAAATATTACGCTCTTCAAGTACTTAG